CCTTTTGTTGAATCTTTTATTAAAGTTCCCCCCCCCCCCCCCTTTTTTTTTTTTTTTTTTTTTTTTCCCTTCTCCTGTTAAGTTTCTTAATCCTAATGGTGTTTTTCTGTCTTGGTCAGATGTTTATCCACTGTAGTACATCAGTGTGCCATTCTCTTTCTGGCTCCTGTGAGCGGAGTTGCTCACGGAAAAGTGAGTGACTTATATTTTAGTCTTTTGTTTTTGTTTTTTTGTTTTTTTTAAAGTGGTAATCCATTTTCTCACCCTCCTTTGCAGGAAGGCATGTTGATGTCAAGGCAGTCTCAAGTGAGCACACCATAGTTTCTAGTGGAGAAGTTACCCTGGTCATATAAATGTTATGATGGCTGTTTCAATGAACTCCATGAAACCTTGAATATGTCTGGAGTTTGTGGTTGTTTGGGCTAGCTTGTTCAGTGGAGTTTGTTAAATTTGTACATAAGTGTTCAAAGTTGTTCTCTTCCCAAGTAACCGTAATCTACACTGCTTTGACTTCAGCTTTCCTGGAAAACTGGAAGTTTTGTACTTCTCTTTTGCCTGTCCATATTGAGTTTTTGGCCATGATGACACAAAGGTCCAGTTACTATGCGTTTAGGTGTTAACTTCCCTCCCTCAGCTTTGTATACCTATGAACACTAGGGTCACCTGCTGACACGGCATCACCATAACGAGCCCCCTCATACCTTTGCTTGTGTATTGAGTAGCAGTGTTGGGATAACACATTACAAGTAATGTGAGTTATGTAATCAGATTACTTTTTCCAAGTAACTAGTAAAGTCATTTTAATTTACAAGAAAATATTGGCGTTACTCTTTTGCAAAGTTATGCCGAGTTCACACTGCACGATTTTAGCCCGATTTCACTCGCCCACAGGTTGTGAAATCGCCAACAAATGCCCAAAATCGGAGGCAAATCAGTGCTTGTTCACGTGAGTGACAATCACGCAGTGAATTATCAAAGACTCTATCTGAGGGAATCGCCAATGCCGTGAAATATTTGGCATGCTAAATATCTGGAGCTGTTGGCGATTCACAATCACGCTGTGAAATGAGTTCTGACTGAAAAACACATCGGCGATGACCTACAGCGTTAAATTAAACAGTTTGCAAACCATTGTTGCCAAATCCGCGATTGCGGCTGGTTGTTTGTAAGCAGGTTGAAGTGACCCCAATAACGTGATATTTAGGCCCTGGAATGTGAGTTGTACCAGGAGAACCCTGCCAAAAGTGTATTTTACCCCAAACGCAATTTTTACTGGGGGACCCCCTCAAAAGCAATTGGGATATTTTCAGGCTAGTTGAGTAATTGGGTGGGTTTTGTAGCAAAATCCTGGCAACCCTGCACCAGATAGAGTTGTCGGTGACTCTTCCTATTTTAAAGTTATGCAGTGTGTAACCTCCTGTTGTCGTTCCATTGTGCAGTGTGAACAAGGCAACAACTGAATGCTACCCCAGATAGGCGTTCAGTGTGAAACCAACAGTGATGTGACGTCTTTGAAAATCGTGCAGTGTGAACTCTGCATTAATTCGTTTTCCCATTTATTGACTGACAAGTCCCCTGTCCCCATATTGGGAGAAATCGGAAGTGCAGAGGAGTTGTGCTGTGTGAACATGCTACTGTAGTTCTAGACTGAATGTGCATTAATTCATCCCATTCACACAATACAGATTTAGTATTCATCAGAATGAAATGCAATCTGAGAATATGATGCAAACCTGCAATTATTTGTTAAATGTATCTAATCCGGTGTCTTTGCTGCTGACCTTTGATCCAGTTCAATCATACTAAGCAAAAATGACTTAGAAAAAAAATGAGAATTTTTTTTTATCTAAAGGGAGTAGCACAATATTGTAATGTATTACTTTTAAAAGTAACTTTCCCTAACACGGAGTAGCAGTCTTGGTGTTTTCCTCTGACGTGAAACTCATTCAAAACTGAACCGGTGTGCGTCTACATATCAAGTGTTCTAGAGTTGCAACCCAGAGATAACCCTTAGTGTCAAACTCCATGCTCATGTGATTTAAGCCTTTTTTTTTTTTTTTTTTTTTTAACGTGATGGTTTAACAAAAGCTCTGTTTTGGCCATTCATTTTAAAGTGTAATTTTGGGGGGCCTGAAAATGTACTTTAAAACCAGTTTTCAAAATTTTGCCAGTTAAAAATAGTGTCCGCACAACCTACAAAAATTTAAATTTGCACATGAAATCACAACTTTCACATTACGTGTGCACTCTAAAGGTATGTGTGTGGCGTGTATTTACTAGTTTACATCGGCAGCTACTGGCATGGCGTGCATAATATTTAGTTTTTGCAGATCCATGTGAACGAGGATCGCTTGGATGACATTATTCTAGATTAAAGACGCATCTCTTTGGCCAATGCATCTCAATCTTGTACTGCAGTTATATCTGATCAAATGCACATTATTCTTTAGTTTGGGTTAAACAAATTTTGCTTGGTTGGAACAGCAACTACGCTAATTATGTCGATTTGTATCGTGAAAAGCGCTGTACAAATAAACTTGAATTGAATTATCACCTGTACATGAAAAGCGCAAAGAAAAAACATTGTTTTTAGCACGTTGTGTAAATGTATCCCAAGTTTGCAAATGCGCACTCCTAATGTGAGGTCAAGACCTGGCACCCTGTCTGATTATACAAATAAAAGGGTTGCTTGAACATGGCCGAGTTGAGCTAATGGCTAAAAGTTGGAGGCTTGGTACTTTCTGCTTAGTGTATCTAAATGTAGTACAAGAACTACACATTTACTCAGTTTTCATAGTCCTTGTTCAGTTTATATTTTTTAAATTGTAACACTAAAGTGAACATTAAGAATGACTGTTTTTGTTTGCCAGCAAGTTTGAGTCAATCCTAAAAAAAAAAAAAAGATGTAACAGTTAATCTTATTTAAAATGTCTAACAGACAAAAATTTGAAAAAAGGCTAACTACAATTATAGGAGATATTATAACTTCAAAATTTGCACCGCTATCCTTAAACTTAGGACCTGCGGGTGTCGCTGTTGGACAGTGTTATTCCTGCTTCCTGTTTGCAGTGCTGCTGGTTTGTGATTGTAGCTTCGTGTAGCAGACGACCACCGGGACAAGACCACAGGAACCAGAAGAGTCCTCTGTACAATGTGACTTTGCTAGCCTGAAATTTAACTGCAGGTTTTGTCTGGCTATGAACTGCCTTTAACTGAAAAATTAGTATTTACTATTGTAATTTTTGCATTATTGACACACTATTTTCCTAATTAATGCTGTTCAGTTGCTTTGACACAATCTGTATTGTTAAAAGCGCTATATAAATAAAGGTGACTTGACTTGACTTTACTTAAAAATTAGCATTTGACAATACTCATCTGCATCTGCAACACCCTTTATGAGATTGACTGTCTTCCATAACTTTGATTATTTTTTTCTCATTATTGATTATTTGTCAACCCATCAATCTCAAAAAAGTGCAATGAGCACAACTGCTATTCTTGTTGTCGTTCAGTTTAGTGGTCATTTAGTTTCATGTGGGAAAACAACCAATCAAACGTGAAGATAAATTCTTAATTAGTCAAAGTAGCTGTAATGATTCTTGATTAAAGGAGGTGGGGTTGATAACGATGATTAATTTGCAGAGTACAAATAGAAGTCCAAGGCAGTCTGAAGTTGTGCTCAGTTGTTTAGTAATGGCAGGAAAGTGGTATTCAATTTGTTTCCAAACACTATGTGTTTTGGTTAGCTCTATTTGCAGTGCTGTTCCAAAGTGGAGTAATGTGCCACAGAACCCTCAAGCTCTGATGATCCAGCAAACTGACCAGCGGTTTCAGCAGCCAGTTCAACAACAAACTAACCAGCGGTTTCCTCAGCAGTTTCAGCTTCAGAAGCCAGTGGCGCAGACAGAGCTCCTTGATAAATGTGCTGTAGCTGATTATGAGCAGATCCAATGTGGACAACCTGGGATCAGTGGTGCTGAGTGTGAAGCTATCAACTGTTGCTTTAAAAGACAGCAGTGTTACTATGGGAGGGCAGGTAAGCGTTCTCAATGTTATTCGGTTCATGTTAAACTGATTCTCAGCGTTAACCTGCTCTTGTACCTTGTTCCAGTGACTGTCCAGTGTATTAGAGATGGTCAGTTTGTGGTAGTGGTGTCTAGAGATGTTACTCTGCCTCGACTGAGTCTGGATTCTGTTCGTCTACTGGGTGGAAACCACCCTCCTTGCGCTCCTGTGGAGTCCACACCTTACTTTGCTATATACCAGTTCCCTGTGACCCCATGTGGCACGAGCATGATGGTGAGCAGCTGCTTCTGGTTTTATTCTGCATTGCTTATGATGGACTGGATGCTGACACTGTTCCTTTTCACAGGAGGACAGTGGATATGTGGTGTATGAGAACAGAATGACCTCCTCGTATGAAGTGGGGATTGGACCGTTTGGTTCCATCACAAGGGACAGTCATTTTGAGTAAGTGATCTATGACTTGGTGTGAATGTTATTCTCTGATAAATGCTACAAGCTCACCATCTGTTGTCCAGGCTTCTCTTCCAGTGTAGGTACTCTGGAACTTCTGTGGAAGCCCTGGTTGTGGAGGTTAACTCTGTTCCTCCACCTCCACCAGTAGCTGCTCCTGGACCTCTCAGGGTGGAGCTCAGACTGGCCAATGGCCAATGTGTCACCAAAGGGTGCACAGAAGGTAAGGTTTTGTCCTGTGTCTTAAAGCCTCTCAAACTTGAGTCTGTTTAAACCCCAGTGTTGTTCCTCAGGGGATGAGGCCTACACGTCCTACTACAGTGATTCTGATTATCCTGTAACAAAAGTCCTGCGAGAGCCTGTGTATGTTGAGGTGCGCATTATGGAGAGGACTGACCCCAACATTGTCCTGATGCTGGGACGTTGTTGGGCGACTTCAACCCCCAGTCCACTCGGTCTCCCCCAGTGGGACCTTCTGATCGATGGGTGAGTGTACAGCCGATCTTTATCCAGTTAGTCTAATGTACGCCATCCCTAATGCTTCTATACCACTGTTTAGATGCCCTTACCAGGACGACCGTTACCTGACCACACTGGTTCCAGTGACTGGATCGTCTGGTCTTCAGTTCCCAACCCACTACAAGCGCTTTGTTGTGAAGATGTTCACATTTGTAGATCCAGCCTCACTGGCTCCTCTGCAGGAAACGGTATTGTTCCCCACTTTATTAGTTTTACACTCGGCCTCTTGATGTTTTGTAATGGGTGCTTCTGCTTCTCAGATCTTCATCCACTGCAGTACAGAGGTGTGCCATCCCTCTTCTGGCTCCTGTGAGCAAAGCTGCACCAGGAAAAGTGAGTACTTGCTGTAACGTTGTAATTTTGCTTAATCTCAGACTAGTTGTGGGTTGTCTCACTCTTCTTCTTCCCCCTCCCCCCCCCAGGAAGAGATCTTGCTGTGAAGACCGCCACTACTGTGGTTTCTAGTGGAGAAGTGAGACTGATTCTATGATTGAGCAATCTTTTAATAAACTAAGACTTTAAACTGACTATTTTGTGCAGAGCTACCAATCAGATGTTGCTCCCATGTTTATGCAAGGGTTAACTGACTCCCAGGTAGCTACAAATCTACCTTCAATCGTTTGGTTTATCGACTCTTGGTCCTGTTTGGGTTCTCAAGGATTTTCTAGAGACCCTGAAGATTCTGTGCGTTTGAACTTCAGGAGACTTTCAAAACTATCAAATTGTGCTCCAGTATTAAGAAACCACAACTAGATTCTAGTGAACTGGCAAATTACAGACCCATTTCAAATCTTCAGTTTTTCTAAAATTTTAGAAGTTGTCTGCTCTATGCTCCTTCCTGCAAAAAAAATGATCTCTAGGAAGAATTTCAGGCCCCACCATAGCGCAGGAACTGCACTTGTTAAAATTACAAATGACTTGCTGCTTGTGTCCGACGAAGGCTGCATCTCATTGCTAGTTTTATTTTATCTTAGTGCTGCATTCGACACAATAGATCAGCGGTGGCGAACTCCGGTCCTGGAGAGCCGCAGAGTTCAGCTCCAACCCTAATTAAAACTCACCTGCCTGTAGCTTTCTAGTAACCCTTCAGACCTTGATTAGCTTGTTCAGGTGTGTTTGATTAGGGTTGAAGCAAAACTCTGCAGGGCTGCGGCTCTCCAGGACTGATGTTCGCCACCCCTGCAATAGATCATGACACTCGTAGATCGATTATAAAACCATATGGGTATTCAAGGTTAGGCTTTAAGATGGTTTAGATCCTACCTGTCCGATCGCTACCACGGTTTATTTAAAAGGTGAGTCATCTCCATTTATCACCAGTAAAATGGAGTGCTACAAGGATTTATCCTAGGTCCACTGCTATTTTCAATATACATGTTACCCCTTGGTAATATTATTAGAAAATATGGGATTAGTTTTACTATGCTGATGGTACTCGACTATACAGTTCAACAAGACTAGATGAAACTTCTAAGATAACAGTGTTAATGTAAAGTTTGGATGACCAATAATTTTATCCTATTAAATTCAGAAAAGACAGAGGTATTACTCATTGGAACAGTAGACAGAATCTCTTGGATTACAATTTGCAACTAGACGGATGTACTGTTACTTCCTCCTACAGTCAAAAATATAGGTGTTATATTAGCGACTTGTCTTTTGAAAATCATATTTCCCATGTTACAAAAAATGCAAATATTGTAGGAACTTAATTTTCTGTAAAGTTGCTTTGCAACGATTTGTATCGTGAAAAGCGCTATACAAATAAACTTGAATTGAAAAGTATATAATCGTAAGTAAATCCAAGTTCTCCATGGTCCAGTGTGTTAAATATGCTTCGTAGTAGAAATTACAGGTGGCACAAACAGTGGCATGATGCTTCATGGGAAGTTTGCAGGTTGTGTGTTTATGGCCAGGTAAACAGGCCTAATTTTAAAATCTAGTGTCCAATAACATTGCAACTGCCAGGCTAAACAATTGGACCTATTAGTTGTGTAAATGTGGTCTTCGAGGATAAAACATGAGCAGCATTATTTTAGTCAAGCTAAAACTGATGATGTAATATTACAACAGTGGGCCATACAGGGTTGAGTAAGTTCGGTAGCACTTTACAATACGGGTGCACAAATATGCTTTAAATAATGCTTAACTAATGCACAGATAATCATGAGTTAATGTATAACTCATGAAGAACTAAACCATTTAATAATTACTGCATGAGCAACTAATGAACATTCTATATATATATATATATATATATATATATATATCAAATTGTTATTAGTTAAATGTGTCAATGTATTAATTCCCTAATAGCATATATTAACTAATGAAGTAAATTCATATGTTAATTACCACATTGGGTCGAAGCCATGCCTTTCAACTTCCAGTTGTCTGCTGAGCAACTCATGAACATTCTATATATATATATATATATATATATATATATATATCAAATTGTTATTAGTTAAATGTGTCAATGTATTAATTCCCTAATAGCATATATTAACTAATGAAGTAAATTCATATGTTAATTACCACATTGGGTCGAAGCCATGCCTTTCAACTTCCAGTTGTCTGCTTTAATTAATCATTATCTAATGATTTGCGAAGGCATCATTATGTTATGACTTTATTTGTTGAGGCACAGAACTATTAACTAATTGTTAAGTAATATGTCACTGTGGTTATGGATTTTGAATTAGTTAGTTAGTCATGTGCCTCAACAAGTAAAGTCTTGCAGTCAGTAATTATTAATAAATGGTTTAGTTCTTCATGAGTTATACATTAACTCATGATTATCTGTGCATTAGTTAAGCATGAATTAATGCATATTAGTGCCACCATATTGTAAAGTGTTACCGCAAGTTCTCCAAAAGTAAGTTTATATGGTCCAGTATGTTAAATGTGCTTCATAGTAGAAATTACAAACGACACAAACTGTGTTGGCATGTGTTCAGAGGTGTATCTTATTCTGAATTAGGGTTAATGGTGTGTGCTGCAGTAGCTTTTTTGTTGTTGTTGGTGAAACTTGCCAAACGTATGCCACAATACGGCAACATTCTCGTTTCTGGAGTTTAAAAGGGAGGCAAGTGGATCATAAAGCACCTGTCAGTCATCATAGTGAAACAGCCAATGCAGTGCATGCACTGTTGACCCAGTTATGCGTCATTGCTCATGTGGTGGGACGAGCACAGAGGGTGTGCTGATTCACTGCGAACAAACAACATTGATCCCATTGCCAAAAGGGAAAAGTTTCTTCAGATTTCTTTTGACACCTGTAGATTATTTTAAGGAGCTACTTGGATTATTCGAGCGCCACCTAACTGAATGGCTGTTCAGTGGTTTATGAATTAAAATGCAGTGGGCTCTGGAGAGAGTGCATGTGTGCAGTGGATGGACAGCGGCTCCGGTTCACTCTCGACATGAAGAGATTCATCCGTGTGTCGCAGCTGGCCGCGATTCTGCTCTACATTCCTCTTGTACAGGTAACTTCATGAGTTCCTTACAAGTTTACCATTGTAAACCGTTGTTACTACAGTTATTCAAGTCACTGGCTTAGAAATCAGTTAATGTGATGCATTAAATAGTGTAAGACGCTTTTTAAGAGTGTTCCTGTCATTCTAATTAATGCAATTAATTGTAACTCCTCCAGTTTTATTCTTGTTAGTGGTGGCTTCTGCTATAGATAACTAAAGCAACTGGTATTTACACTGCAAAAAAATTATTCTCTTACTTAATATTTCTGTCTTGTTTTCTGTAAAAAAATTAAAAAGGCAATATTTTGTTAGTTTTTCCTTAAAACAAGCAAAAATATCTGCCAATGGGGCAAGAAAAAAAATCTTGTTTAGCCTTTCAATTAAAAACAAGATTTTTTTAGAAAACAAGACTTAATATCTTAAATCATTTTACTTGTACAGGAAATGCATCTTGATTCAAGAATGTTATTTATACTAGAAAATTTTTTTTTTTTAAATATTAAGAAAATAATTTTTTGCAGTGTAGTAGTTGATAAACACTGGAAAATTATGTTTGCCTTGTTATCCAGTACAAATATTTAAATGTTCTTTAAAAAAGATAGAATTACTTTCGAGATGCCTTAAGATATTAAGTCTTGCTTTCTAAAAAAGTATAGTATAAATAACACTCTTGAATCAAGATGATTTAAGTGAAATGATTTAAGATATTAAGTCTTGTTTTCTAAAAAAAAGAAATTATCAAAATTTTGTTTGTTTTTGCTTAAAAGAGAAAAATATCTTCTAATGGGGGTCAGAAAACGAATTATTTTTCTGACCCAATTGGCAGATATTTGTTCTTATTTTAAGCAAAAAAACGTACATAATTTTGATACATTTTTTAGAAAACAAAAAAGTGAATGTATCCTGATTTAAGACTTTTAGATTTTTGTAATGGAAAAAGAGAAAAATACAAAGTAAAAACGTTCTGAAATTAACTAGTTATTGTAAAGTATCACCTAAATTTAGCTGCTTGTATTATTAAAAACTGATAAAAATAACACTTTCATTCTTCTTTAAGAGTTTGCTGGTTCATTTACATTAATAGAACTGACTGGATGCTTCAGAATCTGATTGTGTTGTATAAATAATCATTAGTGTCACAGTAAATTTGTTATTGCATATTATTTGTAATTAGTAAATGCAGTGTTTTCCTTCACTTTGGATACTTTGACGGTCTCTCTCAGGTCCATAAACTGCACCTCTTTCTGCTGTTGAACACAAATAGAGATCTTTTTTTTTTTAAACTCTCTATATGATCTGTGTCATATTCATTGATAAGCATCATATCTGCTGAATGAAATTCAAGTTACTTACTAATTTTGAGCTGCTGATTCCAAAAATAGGTTCTTTTTTGCTCTTCCACTTCACATGTATGATGTATATGTATTTTGTAGCATTTTTGCTTTTATAAGAATTTGTGTGGTGAAGATGTGTCGTATTCTCCCGTCATCAGCAGACAAACAGCACAAACACATGATTCCTGAGACAGATTATAACGATTTGATAAATTCTCAGCCCATTTTCACAGGCATGACATTATTTAATGCCTAATCCTGATTTCATGGTCACAATTATGTCCAGTGACAGAAGCTAGTGCAAGCATGAGACACAGAAAATTACAGATTTTGTGAAAAAGCTTATCTATCTATAAACGTGTTTAAATGCACGCTAAATTATATGTTTTGAATATAACATTTGACATTTGTCAGCTTTTGTTATTTTGATACGTGCATTAAAGCTGATACATATGTGTCCCTGCAGCACAAAAGCAGTCTTAAGTCGCTGGGGTATATTTGTAGCAATAGCCAACAATACATTGTATGGTCAAAATTATACATTTCTCTTTTATGCCAGAAATCATTAGGATATTAAGTAAAGATCATGTTCCATGAAGATATTTTGTACATTTCCTACCGTAAATATATCAAAACGTAATTTTTGATTAGTAATATGCATTGCTAAGAACTTCATTTGAACAACTTTAAAGATGATTTTCTCAATATTTAGATTTTTTTGCACCCTCAGATTCCAGATTTTCAAATAGTTGTATCTC